ATAGCTCTAAGAGGCCCAACAGTGACTGGAAGGGGAAAAATAAGTCCTTCTGTCATCAAAAACCTCTATATACCTCTTGCTTCAAAGGTTAGATAGACCTTCAAGTATTTCACAGTCAGTTCTTCTTTCTTTGGGAACTTTCTTGCCATTGGTATCAAAGGTGTTTCTTGACTTTTCTTGATCACTAGAAGTCAAGTTTTTAAGTGAAGAGGTTTGTAAACAAAAGGAAAAGGGTAGAGGTGACTCTTGAAATCATACTTCAAGTTGTTTTAAGGAAAGTATTAAGACTTTATTAGCAAAAAAGTATAAAAACTTCTTGCGAACATCTTTTTTGTGTGTGATCAAAGGATCAGCGGAAAGAGTTTTTATGTATAGATTGATAATAATAAAGTGCATAGTACTGGAATTATATACATATATAATAAAAAAAAACTTTTATATGGTTAAAAAAAATCTTTCAAATAATTAGAAATAAAAAGAAATATTTTAATCAAAATATTTTTTTACAAAAATACAAAACTAGAAACAAATAAAATAATATTTTTTAAATCTGACTAAGAATATTTAATTAATTAGAGAATATGTTGAAAGTACAAAGACAAATTAGTCATTATATAAGTTTCGATATACTGTACTTACTTCAATAAAAAAAAATATTATTGTATACACTGTATACTTGTTTTTTAATAACACTTATTGGTTTTGTCATTTGCGGTTGTTGAGATATTATTGGTCGAATCGAAATCAAATATGTTAAACAAGATCATAATAGTCAGGTCGAAATAGAAAATTTTCTGTTGGTCAAGTACAGTGTAAAAAAGTTCCAGGTATCTGGAAATTCTTGAAATTTACTTTATTTATAAAAGCTTCCAATATATCTTTTTTTCAGATAATAATGCTGAAGCGTTAGTACGTGATAATTATAGATTTCATACATAGGAGGTCTTTTTATATAAATTGGCACGTCAACAATTTTTTACAGCTTCCAGTCACGTATTGATGCATCTTTCACTTTTTGCACAAGTAAACCAAGGCCCAAATTGGCAACTTGAAAAAGTTCAGGCTTGTAGCTATAACAACAGCAAGTCTTTGTCTTCGATATTATCTGTTGGCGATTGTGTTGTTTGCTTATAACCTCGGAAAACTCTCAGTCAACATGGCGGCGGAAGCAAGAAAGGCTTTGGAGGTACTTATAATTCGGTTAATCGTCACTATGTCTCGGCGGCAGTGATCTAACAAGATTACAAAAATGCAGGCTTTGATGGGTGCTGAAGCTTTAGGAGGGGTTCCTGATCATATGAAATATGATGATGAAAAAGTATGCCGCAATTATCTTAGTGGACTTTGTCCGCACGATCTTTTCACGTTAGTATTAATTCTATTTCATCCCGACAATCCCACAAGAACTCTGATGCATTAATTAACTATTTTTTTCGTTCATTCGTATAGAAATACAGTTGAGTGATACGATTAACTCTTGGCGGAATAATTTTTGCAAATAGAAACTCAACCATATGCTTGTTTGTAGAAAATGGACCTCGGTTCATGTCCTAAAATTCATTCCGAGCGACTAAAAACAGAATATGAAGAAGCGAAGAAGAGGAAAGAAAATGATTTTGACGCGGAATTCGAGCGTAACTTGGCGAATTTCGTATCGGATTGTGACCGAAAAATTGCGAGCGCACAAAAACGATTGGATAAAACTCCAGAGGATAGTGCAAAGGCCACACAATTGGTCGGTATCTGAGAACCCGTTTTTTATTAATAAAATGGATCTTATTTAATGTTATTAAGTGTTTACATTGCATCGTGATACACTTTCAGATAAAGGAAATCGAGAATCTAGTAGTAGAGATATCGGAATTGACCAAAGAAGTGGAAGTTCTAGGTATTTTAATGCATTCCTTACATTATCGATATACTTGACAACGAATCCGCGTACTGTCGTTTTATCGATGAATATTATTTGGGATTTTAGGAGAGCAAGGCAAAGTTACCGAGTCGTTCAAACTACTTCAAGACGTTGAAGCAAAGAAAACGGCCAAAATCGAAAAAGAGGTTAATTGGTGATGATCATCTGGTGTTTCTTGATAATTAAAAACCGGGTCATTCAGTTATTTAAAAGATTTCCTTTTTATGAAATCCAATATAGAAAGAGCTGAAAAATTCGTCAGAAAGTGGCGGTGGCCCTTCTCAGCAACAAAAATTGCGCGTTTGTGAAGTGTGTAGCGCCTATTTGTCGATATTTGATTCGGATCGACGGTAATTTTATGATATTAACCTGAATATACGTAATTTATGCTTTCATTCGACTATAACCGAAACAAAAAAAAAAAAAAAACAAAAAACACAAAAAAAAAACATCGAATCCTTTTTCCAATAGCCTAGCTGATCATTTCGGTGGAAAGGTGCAAGCAATTGAATTATTTTTTAGTTTCGCAAGTTGGTTGATCACGTGAAATTATTAATTCTATTTCTCGCGTTTTTAGATGCACTTAGGTTATTTGAAAATCAGGGATTTGTTGAAAGAGCTCAAAGAAAAAAACAAGGATCGTGGTGGTGACTTAAGGGAAGGGCGAGGTTATCATGACCGTGATAGAGACCGAGGAAGTTATGATCGTGATAGGCACAGGGATCATCGTAGCGGAAGATTTGATCAGTATGTTCTTTGTTCCATTCTAACCTGTTTTATTTCGTGCGCATTCGCATTCACGAGGCTTTATGTTCGTTAAGTGATCGTCGAAATTCATATGAAAGACGCTCGAGAACGAGGTCGCCCGAGAGACGTGGTAGCTACGGAAGACGACGTTCACGAAGTCCCAGAAGGCGACACTGAAGAATTTCTTTTTTTTTCGGTCACAGACATTTAAATATAAAGCTGCTTGAATCTTGTTTCGCGCATGACTCACTTATCCAAGGATTTTTTAACGTCTGAATTGTTTCAATATTTTTACTTTTCTACTGTTATATATTCAGAGATATAATTGGTGGTTATTTATTATTAAAAGAAATAAAATAAAATTAATTTTTTGGTTAATTCTCAATCGTATGCGGTTAAATATGATTTTGTTTTATTTATTAATTCGTTTTTACGATGAAAAAAAAGAGAGAAATAACTTTTTCTATATTGAAAAGTCAAATATTTTTATAATTGTTGATTTAAATAAGTTTACTATTTCTCCTCGATAACTCGATTCACACTATATATCAAAACAACTTTATTTGGGAGGCAAAGGAGTAAGCAACAAATAAAAACTCTGATGATTATAATTTGCTTTCAACTCAAAATCTTTGAAACTTAGGAATATTACAAAAGAAAAAAATTAATGGGGAAAAGAAAAATACATTTTAACCTCTAATAATAATCGCCTTCTCGGCACCTCCGACCCTCCCTGCACGTCCGGTTTTGTCTACATGGTCCAATCCTAAGCAATCCTCACTATTCCATTTAATGTCCGATAAAATTACTTCTATATAATGAGTAAGAGAGTGAATTATGAGATTAAACAAATCAAGGATCGCTGGTTGAATAAAATAAGGTGTACATACCGTCTTCAACATAATGGGGTTTCGGATATGCAGTACCTGGAACAACCGCAATTTTTACTTTAGCGAAATCTTTTTCGTTCATGCCAAGGCGCTCCTGGAGACGCACTTTGGTCTCAGGAAAGCTCTCGCCCTATGGTTTATGAGCAAACAATTTCCGTTAATTCAATAAAACTTCACAATAAATCTGTGTTAAGGCAGGTGGCTCGTGATCTGAACTTACGGTTTTGATAACGAACTTGAAAGGAATTCCGTGTGATCGTAGTGGTTCCTTGGTAAAATGAAATACTTGAACGACTTTTTCATTGGCTCCTGCCTCCATCTCTTCTTGAGGTATTTCCTACATCGAAGAAAAGACGATTAACAAATGGCCAAGGTATTTTGAAAATAATAAAAAAAAAAAAAAAACGAATCCATTCAACTATGATTTCACACCTCTGCGTATAGTGTCACGTAATCTGCTATTCTCTCCACTAATTCTGTTCCGACATATTCCTTGTGAATTTTGTGATTATTGACTTCGTACAATCTGATTTTACTGTTTGGACTCGATAGGGATACCTTTTGTCGAATCACATCTATGATTTCATCGACGACAGAAGTTTTTGGAAGACGGACGTCAATAATTTCCTTTTATGCGAACACGATTTCAATTAGGAATATAATGAATATAAACATTTCAATTAACATCAATCAAAACAGTTGGTGAAGCCTTTACCTCATCCTTAATGGTAGTTCCGAGCCAATTAACCTTGAAGAATTTCTTTGTCTCTAATTCTACAATACTAATATCAAGCATTTCATAGAATAGTTGTGCAGAGGGGAGATATGATGCTTGAAGCATGTCTGATAATGTTTGGGTGGTAGTTCGCTTGATCACATTTTTTGGTGTGCCGGACGGTGAACTCGCCGTTGTAAAACGTAATTTCAGAGGGTCAGTATTTAGGTGTGCGGCGACCTGGTTGGCAACCTAGATATCAAGAACCATGAGGTATTATGTTGCCATATTTATCACTAAGAACCAAAGGAGAGAACCATGAATTCCTACGCACAGCATCATAGCCCATCTTCCTGTTTAGAACCAATTCAAATTCGGGTTTTGGTTCACGATCCTTTAACTTTGGTTTGAACTGAACCACAATACGCATCGACAGATGTTCATAAAACTGGGGAATACTGTAGATACGACCAGCATCCTGATGGCCTTGAATCCTGCCATGGAAAGTTAAATAAGCATCGAACCTCTCGAACAAATCATGTTAAGTTATCCATGACGTACTCTTTTTCTGTTAATGCCTTTTGAAAACAAATTATATCTCCATCCTGTATCTCGGATTGATGAAGGGTTGATTTTGGTTTCATTTCTTCAATCATTCCGGGTTTAATTTCCTAAGGTTATTCGTAGAGTATTAGACAAAACGAGCATTAGTCAAGACGAAGTTTTCCAATTAAAATACCTTACCTCGTATATCTTCAGAGGCGTATTCGGCGGGAAGTCCTTCTTTTCACAGAGAATTGGAATGATATCCCCGACTTTTGTAAACTTATGAATGTAGAGAAAGTGAAGACCCCTATAAAAATGCAAATATCATTTAAACATAATGTTTTATGTTCATATATATGTGAGCGATGTTGTGAAGAATGCGTACTCTAGTGATTGCGTGTCAGGATCGAAATATTTGAGGAAAACCATTATGTGTGTATTTCCTTCGTTGGGATGGAACCACGCCTGAACAGTAAAGACGAATGAATAACATAAGAGGAAGAATTGAAAACTTTGAATGTATTACAGATCGCCAACTAACCTTGGTACTACTTGGCTTGTCGGAAACTTCCAAGTATAGTTTTAGTTCGTTCTGTCGTGCCGCCATTTTTGAGTGAATTTCTTCCATCGCTAATCGACAATGCCGCAGATAAAGAATTTATGAGTAACAGATTATATTCACCTTATAATAATTGAAATAGAGACAAATGAATGAACCAAAAATACGCCAATAATTACTTGAGCCAATAAAATTTTCTGATATAGGAGCATCCGGTCGAACGGTCTTGTTTTGTCGGTTCACAAGAACCCAGAATCGTATCTGTTCAACTGGAATCTCAAATTTCTTGGCAACCATCTCTTTGAATGCACCATACGTATCACTCTTAAGCACTTTGAAATGAGGAACTTCTGAAAGAGGATATTGGCGATCGTCAAAGTTGGCAAGGTCGAATCCTTGATGGCTTCTAAAGGTTTCGGCAGTTACAACCTAAAGAAGGTGGAAGCGTCATTGAGTCTCTCATTCATATAATCAGAAAATAAGTCGATTGTAGAAGTACCTTGACTTGTAAATAGAGGTGCCGTTCCTCGGCCTCTTTCTTTTTTTGTTCTTGTGCCGCTCTTTCCTCGTCAAGGCGCCTTTCTATTAAGTGATGTTAAATTTAGTAACAGTGACGCATGAAAAAAGTTTCCATAATAAACCTAGGGCAAACCAAATCCTACGTAAATGATCCGGTATTTCTTCTGGAAGCACCGGAGATAAAATCTCGTCGACATCGGATTCACGGATATATACTAACATATAGGCGTTCGTGAATCTTTTCAGGTTTCTCCCACCAGGTCGAATAGCGGGTAGAGGGCTGGAATTTGGAACTTCACCTCCGTAATTATCCTCCAACACCTCCTTTTCTGTCACTGGTGTAACTCGGTCATCATCAAATTTTAGCCTATTTTGGGAAAAAAAATTTTCTTATTAGTGGAGAAGCTGTAAAATGAATGTTAAGTTAAGAAATAAATGAACCATTTTCCATCTTTCTCTGGTTTCAATAATGCAAAATAATGACCGCCGTGTAAATCCCCGCTGTGAACAAGTACCCTAAATAAAACGAGAGATGAAATTCGCAAAAGCAACAAATCGAATCCAAACTAATATTTATCGCTATTGGCCTTTACAAACCCGTGGAGTAAATATCGATGCGGTTTCGATCGGTCTGCTTCTGGTGACAAGAATTCTTGCAAATCAATCTCCATGGGGAATTCGTGACGATCATTAATCTGTAACATTCAAATATCACATTGTAACACGTCATTTTACACCCTTCCATTAATGATTTCAAATAACTACAATTCATACTTTAACCATAGCGTCCCTTTGAACATCATATTCGAATCGCTTTAATTGCAAGTGCAAAACCGGCGGGAAACTCTCAAATATCACTCCTTTCTTCGCATCCTGCAAATTTTGAAAAAATATCAATGGACTGCACGAATGATATTTAAACTTCAAAAATGAAATTACCTGAAGACCATATTCTTCTGCTTGATATTTATTATCCCCCTCCAAAGTTTCCTCCTGTATATAATCCTTGAAAGAATCATGCAAGGTCTTACACCCTTTCACATTCAGTTGAATGTCTATCCAGAAAATTCGAATACGCATTAACAAAGCATTTATAAAGCGAACAAGTCACATTTTTTGATATATGTGTTCATTGCTACCATAATAGTCTTCAACGCGGGAAGATTCATAATCTACATTGACGCATTTAATGTAACTCTTCATCTTTCCAACAAAAAGCTTTGTGATAGCGCCATCCGCTTTTGTATCCTTATCAGAGCAGAGAAGTCCGGTCACGAATTATAAATGAATTAAGGTGGAAAAAATGAAATAAAATAAAAATAAGAGATAAATAAAATAAAATAATAAGATGATAGGATCTTGGAATTGTGTGAAGAATGAGTGCTTTTTGATGGACTACTGAAACTACCTTCATTTTGCCCTCAAGATTATCTTGCAACACTCGGTTAAACTCCTGAACATCGTGCTGCATAAAAGATTCCAACGAATCCCATCCAAAAGACTTTGTCAACTCCGTCGTTCCGACCGGAGTATTTGACGTCTGTAACTGATAGAATACCCTCTGCAGGGCTAAAGAGACACTTCTGATCGGCTCATCTTCTTCCGTCGGAATCGCGTAAACCGCCTGCATCGAGAAATTAAAAAAGAATCAGATTCGAACGATGCTTGGTGATAACTGGAGAGTCTAACACACCAACCTTACGAAAATAGGTTGTACAATAGAGCGATTGTAACAGGGAGTTCATATAACATGTGGCCCCTTGATTCTTCAAACCCACATACCCAGTTTCCTTCTTTGAATCATAACTATATGAAGAGGTTAAACACAACGCCAGAAATATTGAAGGCCATAACAATAGAGAACATTTGCGGACTAAGGTTCGAAAGATAGAAAGAAAGGAGGTAAAATACTTGATGAAGTTATGCCATAGGACACCTGTAGGATCCTTCAGTACTCGTACGAAAGCTGTGATGTTGGTCGTGTCATTCTCGATTAGAGAGCGTGGCCGATTGTCTGATGGTGCAAATAGCTTTCGCAAATCAAAAAATCGTGTGAAACCCCAATCCGATTCTTCGACGGTGAATCGGTGATGCGCATCTATGTTGTATTAAAAAAAAAAAATAAAAAATAAAAAATGAAATAAATTTTTTATATTAAATTTGATGGAACATATGAGTTGTAAGCAAATTTCAATTTACATACGGTGATGAATATAATGTGTTGGATCCTCCGGGTTCCATAAGACCAAAGCGAACTGTACGCACGAATGCCAGCCCGCAGGGGCTCCCTTAGGATCAGCAAAATCCAAGTAAATGGAAACGGTTTCCGCGTTATTATTTCCAAAAGGGAAAAGTAAAATTCGCCTGTCGTAATTTCACCAGAACTATTATCATTATGATTCCTGCTTGGAAATGAACAAATGAAAAGAAGGAGCGTCCAACAACCCACCATTTCCACCCGCCAGCTTCAAATTCAGGACCTGTTATCCTCTTCTCCAAATTTCGCCAACCGTTGACTTGCCATGTGTAATATTGAAAGTCTTCAATTTCTTGTGGAAGATCAGGCATAATTTTACTCGCTATGGCTTCATCTGTATATGTATATAAATGTTAAGTTTCCCTTGATCCGACCACGATGGTTAGAAGTTACACTTAAAAGACGTACAATCAGTTACGGCCAGAGGGGTTGTCTCCTCTACATCTGACATGGGTCTCTCTGTTTCGGCAGGCGTTGATTCAACAGACATATCCATTTGATCATCCTGTGTTTTTTTAAAAAAATTTATTAGATCTAGATAAATTCACCGAATTTTCCTTTGTGAAACCGCAAACAAAAAGGTGCATAAAGGTCAAGACGCGATCTAGATACAGCTATCCCATTGAAATAAGGAATAGGCGTCTAGAGAAAAAAAAAAAATGAAAAAAATGTCTACACTAGGGTAGCACTCGGTGAACCAAAAGTAAATTCCAAATATTAAAAGGAATTATAGTAGATACCATGCTGAAGTCTGCGGGTATTATTCGCGTGAGGTATAATAAGGCTACGAGAAGGCAGACGAGCAGGAGGGGTTGTAAAATACTCTCGGGGATTATGAAGTCAATGTTGATCGATTTGTGATTGGGAAAGCGAAGATAAAGAGTACTGGATTCTTAAAGATTGAAATGCAAAAATTCGCCAAGATTCACGGCACCATGGAACGGTGAGATTCGTTTAAGTTAACGCAAGTAATCTTGTACTGTGGCACTAAACGTAAAAGATGAAGTTTTTTTTTATTTGTAGATGATAATATGACGTAAACGTGCCACGCACTCTGTCCAATCTGCGAAGTAGGGCATTCAAGTTGACAATCTTTCGTAAAACGCATTTGGTCTACATTAATTAAATCACATGATCAAAAATACACACGTAACTGACGTTACGTAAGTTACTTGATAGAAGTTTAGAAATTTTGTTTATTTTGTTTCGGCAGAAAAGAATTGCGTAACTGTGAATGAATAATCCACGAGAAATTCCAAAGAATTGAAAAGGTGTCATAAAAGCAATTTGTGAATAGAACGATATGGTGATAAAATCACATCCTTAATAAGAATTGTGTTACAAAATCCAAAAACTCCCCACGACTAAAATTAGGCACAACTAGTATGATCCCATGAGAACATTTTTGACAAGGGTGCGCATTCGTCGCAGGTGTGATCAAAATCGAGCAATCTAGTTTTTTCAAAGCTCAGAGATTTTCAACCGAGATGTGGCTGTAACTGATAATCCGCCATTGCCTAACGATCAAATCAATAAATGTTAATGCCGCAGATCGTGCAATTGAACACTGGATTATGATTATATATTATCGGTATTATACCACTGAGTTCATGTTTATTTGGTGTTCGGAAGATTCTGGATGCGCAACGTTGATTCTAAACGATTTTTCCAATTTATAGACAGTATCCCCATGATAGTAATTGGCAATTGCAGTAATTTCACAACTTTCGGCATCAATTCCTGGAGTGCCTGTGAGGACATTATTTTCCCAGCGTAACCAATCAGGAAGCCACGGAGAATGAAACACTGCTTTGATGGCTAATTAAATAGGAGAGGACCGATAAGACGTGTTCAAGTTGCTAGAATCAAAAAACATTCGGTGCGACACGTACATTTAACATTCACTTGTGGATCCCAAACCCGAGGTGCATATCTATACTCTAATCCAATGTAAGCAACCTTGTCGGGAATTCCCGCAATTTTGCGATTAAATTCCCGAAATATCCATCCACCGTCTGGTGTCTTTTTAGCCTCTATATTCCAAACGTGATTACCCTTGGACTTGGCTTTCTTCCCATCTTCATTAAATCGAGAAATATACCTGGAAATCGTATTTGTTTAGACGTGATAAACCAGATTAAGTAATAATAATAATAATAATAAAAGACACCTTTGGGTCCACAAGTAATTCTTAACCTTCCTCAGGGGCAATAACTCTTCGTTATACCCATGGCGTAGTAATTCTTCATGAAAAGCATTTGTGAAAGCCTGAATTCGAAATTTAAAAGGTCGAAAGTCCGGAGATTCGTCTAGTTTTTGCATCTTCTTGGCCATTAATGTCTGATGTCTATCGTGAGGGTGAAACGAAACAATAATATAAACAAATGTTCACGTAAAAAGTCACAATAACAACGACCATCGAAATATCTGGTCTTACATCTGTTCACCCTTGGAATCTGTTGCATCCACTAAAGTCAAACCATGTTTGTTAGAAGGCATCCACAAGTTTCTGCGGTTTACAAACTAAACATGTGAATTAAACTTACGATTCGAACAAATCGTTTGTAAAAAACTAACAAATATATCGTCAAGATGTTTTAACAATCCTGGGTCTAATGGTGCGTGCGTATGTGTACGAGGTGTACTTGGAAGTGCTGTCCCTGGAGATGCAAAGATTGGAGGTTGTGCCTAGCAAGTTTATACAAATAATTATAAATATAATCAAATTCTTCATAATCAAAATTAGAGAAGCCGAAATACCTGGGTAGTATAAGGATCGCTAGGAAGATCGCGAACATTGAGGGCGTACACTTCACTCGTGATTGTTGGCGTGTCCTCAACACTCGTTTTCAAAGATTTCCTTGGCTTTTCATATTTTTGTGCAACAGTTCTCTATATGGTATTTATGATTGGGTGATTAATACCATCAATGCATTCCATCCAAGTCAACGTTAACAAATATTCAAACCTTGACCAACTTGGTGGAAGATGCCATCGGTGTCACAGAGGACACTGATGTCGAAGGTGACTGTTGTGTGATAGCATGAGGTGAGTTCTTAATTTTCATTATTTAGGGGGAGAGCCAAAAGTATAAAACACCGGGTTTACGACAAAACTTTGTCACGTGACTGTAATTCCAAAAAAAAAAAAAAAATTACTTACCCTAATGTTCTGTTTGGTAAAAAGGTAAGGGGCGAGCAAATTTTTTGTTATTCTCCTCGAATTTAATAAAAGGAGTCAAATAGTGAGTTACTTACCAGCTCTGCATACTTTGATTTAAAATCTTTCAAAAGATTTATAGCTTTCGTTATATCTTCAAGACTATTAAATGCTTCTCCTTCAAATCCACGCTCAAATTGTTCTTTTGCCTCTTGGGCATTTAGGACAATGCTGAAAGCGAATATACAGCCATTAATAAGCTTAGGTGTCGACAAAAAAACTATTTCTTTGGTGATTCAGAAGTAAAGCATGATCTCGAAGTCGAATATTGACAGCGCAAAACAAGTTGTCAATAAACTGCCCACATTCTTTGTGAAAGTTACAAGTACCCTTCTTTCTCTAGATATCGTACCTATCAAAAAGTTGGGTCAAATTCATTTTCTATATTTTAGTAGTGGGGTGGTTTTCTTTGGGGGGAGGGACGCTTTTAAAAAGAAGGCCTCTCGAAAGAGGGGTTTGAGAAAAAATGTTAATACAGTTTTTCATTTTGGAACCAAATTTATCAATTTATGTAGGAATACAACCATCCGATGCAACCAATAATTCGCTTTTTAAAATCTTATAAGGTGATAATTTTCAACATAGTAAATCAGGTCCTGGTAACGAATCAATTCATTAATACAAACATTATTATATTGCTTATTACTATCAATAGTAAAAAAAAAAAAAGTTAGTTATTTTTTTATAAAATATTATTATTATTAAAGTGAAACAGGCCTACTTTATTAATTATAGTGTAGTACATATTACTTGAATTAATGGCATGTCTTTGTTGAGATATTGGAAAATATCTAAATATTTTACAGACTTTCACAAAGTGACTAATTCATCATTGTATATTATTAGTTAAAGGATTACACTACTTAAAAAATATGAGAAGTCCACTAAGCTAGTTTGAACTAAACAAAACTAAGTCTAACTAGATACTCTAAGTCAGATTTAGGATACAATATTGTGCTCTCCTAGTAGCTTGGCATAGTGCCTCTAAGTCGATCAGAATCATTGTCAACAGTTTATTACTATTAATTATCCTCAAAAATGATATATTGCTAAAGTTGATATTGGAAAAAAAGGGAAAAGGGAATATAATTTAAAGCACATCAAAAGGTTTTTGCTCTATTTCACAATTTTTTTTTGAAAGGGGTTTATCTAATTGGGATATTTTTTAAGCTTTATGACATTTGAGAAACTTAACCATTTCTAAAAATGACTTCAAGAAAAATGTTTTAGGAACTTATCTTTCTACTGATGTATGGATTCACTTAATACTATTGTGGCCAGCACTATATTACAAAAGAGTTTGCCTGACCAGAATAAAAAAATCTTTTTAAGAACTTTGCTTGATTAGAATAGAAGCTTGGAGACCTCAGCTTTTGTTCAAGAAAGCTTTTTCATCACTTGAAGAACTTAATAAGAAATAGAAGTTGGATCTTCTTTTTCTATTCATCATTCACTTTTTGATATTATAATTGTTTTCTGAAAGTTGAATATATATAATTGGAGGAAATATTTTTTCTAAAACTTTCTTTCCTACATCACCAATAATATATTAAGACACATGAGTGTAACCAATAGAAGCTTGTTTACATTCTAAAAACTGATGTGTTTTATGTTAGTCAATTATCTTTGGTAAGAATTTGTGTTACTCAAAATTCAGGATCAAATTTGAGATAGGCAAAATTTCTTAGAAAATCATAAAAATAGAAGCTTTAAAAGAATCAAAACAGTCAAAAAGAGAGGAAATAAGCCTTTTTACTACAGAAAACCTCTATAAGTCTCTTGTTTAAAAAATTAGAAAGACCTTTAAGTACTTCATGATCAGTTTTTCTTTCTTTGAAAACTTTCTTGCCATTGATATCAAAGGTATTACTTAACTTTTCTTGGTTATTAAAAGTCAAGCTTTTGAGTGAAGAGATTTGTAGATAATAGGGGAAGAATAGAAGTGACTCTTGAAGTTATACTTCAAGTTGTTTTAAGGAAAGTGTTAAGACTTTATTAGCAAGAAAATATAAAAATTTCTTGTGTACATCTTTTTTATATGTGATCAGAGGATTAACAGAAAGAGTTTTTTTTCTTATATATAAAAAAATATAAAGATAAAAAGACTATTTTATAATTATTAATACTTTTTTTTTTATTGAAATTGAAATGGTTAAAAAGAACATGAGATTTTGAATTTTTTGTTTTAAAAACAAATTATTAAATATTTTTTTGGTTAAAATTTCAAGTTTGTTTTAAAAAATATAAAGATTATATCTTATTTATTATTATTATTTTCTTGATAATTAATTTATAATTTTTATTAGTTAATTTAAAAGATTTTTAAAAATCTAAGACATTAAGAATAAACAAGGTTATTAATTAAATGATTAAAATAGTAATATTGTAATAAAGATTTGAACATTTATTTTTTTAAATAGTTTCAAAGATAACAATTAAAACTTTAAATTAAGTATATTTATTTTCTATAATTTTGATAAAATAAATTAAATAAGAAAAGTTTTTCAAATTGAAAAAAAAATTAAAAAAGAAAGGTTTAATTATAATAAGTTTATTGATTTTAATATTATTAATCAAAATTATATTATTCAATACTCAAATTAATTAAACTTTTTATCAATTTTATAACTTGATTTTCTTATTGCAATATAGACTAAACTAAATTAAGAATTTAAACCAATAATAAAAAATTTTTTTTTTTTTTTTCTAAAAAAAATTCTTTCTATTGATCCTTTGACTATATACAAAAAAAGATGTTCGCAAGAAGTTTTATACTTCTTTGCTAATAAAGTTTTTACACTTTTATTAAAACAATCTGAAGCTTGTTTTCACATATCTCTCCTATCCTCCCTTACTTGTTTATAAACTTCTTTGAATAAAAACTTGGGTCTCTAATGGTCTAAAAAGACTCAAGTATACACTTCCTCTATTAAGAACAAAAAGGTTCTAGGAAGTAAAAGGACTGACAAGTGAAATGTTACTTTATAGAACTAGAAGCAGCAAGAAATAGAGATTTTGCTAGTAGGGAAAGGTTTATTATTTACCTTTTCACGTACTGTTCTATATTTTTTTAAAGTGTTTATTGTTTTTCAAGATTTTTTTGAGGAATTCTGTCTATCTAAATTTAATTTTAAATTTCTAATAGCACAATATTACCTGGTATTTGATTGGTTAACATAAATTATGTTACAAATTAAAAGTAAACAAATTCTTACTGGTTATCTCATATGTTCTGATAACATCATTGGTAATTGAAAGAGTTGATTAGTGTCTTATATCTATCTTACTCCTTCAATTGGATTAACCTATAAATCAAGTTTCAAAAAATTAATAAAATATGAGCAACAAGTCTCCAAGTGATAAAAAAGCTACTATTTATTTAAGCTAAAATCTTTTTTTCTATTATTTCAGTAAGGTAAAGTTCAAGACCAAGGTCTCCTTTTTATTCCAGTTAGGCAATAAGACCAAATGATCTCTAGTATATACTAAACTTTAATTATTTGATTATAGTTGAAAATGCATTTCTCCAAAAGTTGTTAAAGAATATCACAATCAATGAGGATTCCTATCCCTTTTGAGATCCTCCTATTATTATAAGACAAAAGGATTATTGGAGAATCTGGTCTTTTGGATAATAGAAGATATATATCAGTAAAATTTTTTTAATTAGGTGTGGTTACTGGAAAGTATCAAACTAAAACAACATAACCTAGTTTCTATTAGGTCACATAAGAACTTGGAGTCTATTATAAGTCATTTCTCTATTACAGGTAAATAAAAAATCACTGTCTAAAGAAGGTTGAGATTAAGTATGTTCTGGAAGTGAAGGCTCCTATTAAGCAATAAGTCTCCTCAGATGGTACTGTTAAAGGTCAAAGAAGTCAGACCAAGTTCAGAATTTTGCTATAGTCACATAAACAATGATTATAACATGACTGAAGCTTATGCAAAACAATTAATTGCTGACTATTACCATACCCCTTATAAGCTAGAAGAATACATAAACAATCCATTTGTGTCAAAAAGGTAAAAAACTATGAGCTAAGGTAATAGAAAATTAGCTGACCACGAAGTAATTTATGCATGACATAATACTAGAATAGTCATAGTGATTATATAATAGCCATATGTATAAAAATGAATAAATGTAACTTTCTTTAATGACTTAATAAAAGTATGAATCTTAAAATGAATCTTTTGAATAGATTGGTATAACAGTAAAGTTATAAGTAGTTTTAAGGAAAAACTATCTTGAGACTTGCCCAAATTTTTTTACACCCCTGCCTTGATTTTTATGTTTTGTATATGATAGAAGGATAGACTCTTTTATTTATAGATTATGCAAGCCTTTGGTCATTAGTGACAGACTTGCCAATCAGCCTGCTACAGTACATAAAAAAAAAATCAAGATCAAGAATAAATAAGTTTTTTAGACAGTTAGGAAAAGAAAAGATATCTCAATTGAACATTTTTTATTGAAAAGAGATTGAAAAGCAGGTCTTTGAAGGAAGTTGAAAATATTTTTTTTTTCAATTTTTATTTTTTTATTTTTTTGTTATCTATTTAGATATTTTTAAATACACTTCTTCACTTTTTTCAACCTATTCTTTTATAGTTTTCTTTATTTCAGTAGCTTGATATAACATACTGTATAGCAGTAATAATCTACTAATAATGATGCAGTGAACTAGAAGGGTTTTACTCAAAGACACTGCAGAGCAAAATATTGTTTTAAAGGTTGAACTTAAAGTCTTTTATACTTATAATGGATTAGTTAGATTAGAATAATAGTTTAATTATAGTATATATTATACTGTTTAAATAAAATATACTTATATTTTTAATTGATTAATAAGTTGACAATCCAGCCTAGCTACAAGTACTTAAAAAAATAAAATAAAATAAAAATTTCTTTTTTATAAATTTTTTAAATATATAGACTCTTCTATTAGAAGTTTAAAATAAATATATTACTAGATAAAATAAGATAATAAAGTAGTATCAATTTATATATAATATTATATATAGAAATATTTATATATAATATTATATTTTAATAAAAAAAAACTCTTTCCGCTGATCCTCTACCCATACACAAAAAAGATGTTTGCAAGAAATTTTTTATTTCTTTGCTAATAAAGTCTTAATACTATCCTTAAACCAACTTAA